GGGAAAGACAGGCCCTGCCCCCAGGAGCTCCCAGCGTAACTAGACAAGGCAGACCGCAGGCTGGAGGGGGAGCAGAGTACAGAGAGGAGAAACGAATCACCCAGGTTCAGAAATCGAAGGGGGGGGGGTTCCTGATTCCCAGACCCACTAGCCCACGGTGAGGAGAGTTGCTAGTGTGGATGCAGCCTTTGGCAAAGCAGCTGGGCACAGTGACACGCGTGCGCCCCGGAAAATGGACACTAGACAAGGCAGACCGCAGGCTGGAGGGGGAGCAGAGTACAGAGAGGAGAAACGAATCACCCAGGTTCAGAAATCGAAGGGGGGGGGGTTCCTGATTCCCAGACCCACTAGCCCACGGTGAGGAGAGTTGCTAGTGTGGATGCAGCCTTTGGCAAAGCAGCTGGGCACAGTGACACGCGTGCGCCCCGGAAAATGGACTCAACAGTGTTTGGCTTTCGGGCTTCTGTTCCTCTGGCAGAGTTAGACTGAATGTTTCCCCTGCCCACCCCAGGTTGCTGAGTGGGGCTCCAGACCCACTAACGCCACCAGCAAGATGCTATGGTGCCGGGTGCCCCATCTACGGGATTTGTCACACAGCACCTGGTAATAGCTACGCTGTCCCACCAAGGAGGCTCTCGGATGTCCGAGAGACCTCCACGGCACTGCTAAGGAGTGTGGGCACCAAGATCCAGGCCCCATTAAGGCAGGGCTGAGAACTGGGCCCGAAAGGGGCAGCTGACCTCCCCGGGAAGGCATCTCTGGCTAAAGGAAACGAGCAACCTCTTCCGAAAAGGATGCCAGCGCCGCTAGAGACTGTCCTTTGAGAGTAGCCAGTGACCCAGTCACGCACTGCCCCAGTGTGTCCGACCGAGTCCACACAGGAGATCCCCCGAACTGCACTTTGTTTTCCGGGCTCCTGTGCCTGCCTCAAAGCCACCATCAGTCTTGGCTCTTCATGCATGACCCCACACAGCCCCCACCCACCAGCTACCTGCTCAGAGGGCGAGTTGGTTGCATTCCCTACCTGGCTGGCAAAGCGTGGGCTCGGGGAGGGAGGGTACCATTGAACTCAGTCTCAACCCGGACATCCAAGCTCATTCCCAGCTCTAATTATCACCTGCTGAAACAACAGCTGCCAAGCGCTAGGGAACTCAAAGGAAAGTCAGGCAGGTCTTGTTGTTTCAGCTGCTTCATTTCACATTATTTCCCTCCCTCCCTCCCCCTCTGCAGCTCCCGCCCAGGGGACCCTGCGGTGCCACAAACTTGCCTGCGTGGCTGCAGTGCTCTCTTGCTTTGCATATTTCACTGTCAACAGGAAAGCAGCCGGGTCTCCTGGGCTACTGGTTGGCAAGTCAACACTGCATGAGCCAGCGTAGGAGGGAAAAACCAGAGAGGGGTTATCCGGGGGACAGAGCAAATAATTGGCGAGGCGAACAATGAATTTTAATGAAACCTCTGTAGGAAGCGAGGGGAGGGAGTTGAGTTAATTGTGCAGAGCGGGATGGGGAGATTCGATTTTTTTTTTTTTTTTGCAGAGAAAAGACGCGTAGAACGACACCTCCTTGGGGAGGGCGAGAAAGGAGGTGCTAGTGGTAAGCTGGCAGGAATACGTGAGAGAGCCGGTGGATGGATATAAATACCATCTCCGCTGGGCAGACCAGGCTGCCGGGGAGCACAGCTTTGCTCTCTCCGACAGGGCAGTGGGTGGGCATTCGTGTCCGTGGAGGCGACGAGGTTACACAAATAGCTGTGTCCTGCCCACACGTCCCGGCACTGCATTAACGCAAGGGTAGCTAGCCCGGTCTGGGCTCAAATGCAGATAGCTGGACTGGTAGCTTAGGCACAGGGCTATGCAAAGTCCCCAGGTTAGATAGAAGCAAAGGGCACTGAGATGCCACAGAACATGCCACAGTCCTAGTTAAAGAGTTATATTTTATAACCCCCGGGCTTCTGACATGCTGCAGGGTTCAATCTCTGCTAAAAAGGAAAGGTTATTGCACCACCTGCCTCTCCCTCCTCCAGACTGTGTGCTCTGGGGCTTGGCCTCCTGCAGAGCCAGCCACACAGTACTGAATTTCCCTGGAGAAACGCCTGTACCATCCCTTCTTTGGGATAAACATGGGGGAGCAGGAATTGTTGGCAACCAAAGAGGCTGGCCCATGCCCTTTACCTTAGCAGTAGCCCTGCTGCCAACGTGACAGAGGCTGGTTGATTGGACAGGTTCCCTTGTCTGCCCGAGAGCCCATCAACCAGAAAGAATCTTCGTAGCCTGTGAGACCTCAGGGAGGCTGAAAGACACACAGCGAAGGGGGTTAGCTGCATACACAGATGCACCATTTCCGGGACCCAGGGCAGTCAACCAAGGTGTAGCCTCAGAGAAGGGCTGCAAATGTAACAGGCACCTCGCTACCTATTTACACAGACGCCCACCCCACAGACAAGAACGCCCCCAGCTCTCTGCTCCAAGGCAGCTTACACACCCTCATACCCAGCCCTCGCATCCTGCCCATCAGCCTTTTCGTTGGTCATACTATATTACTACCTCGCTCTCCTCTAGAGCTTCTCATTAGTCGATCTCAAAGCGCTTTAAGGAGGTCAGTCTCCTTATCCCCATTGTACAGGTGGGGAAAATGAGGTACAGAGAGATGACAAGACTTGACCAAGGTCACCCAGGAGGCTAGCACCAGGTCACCTGAGCCCCATAGTAGCAGAATTCTAGTACAGCCCACAGACTGAAATGTGAATGGCACAATTTTTGGTAGCGACAACCATCTCTCCCTCCAGCATGGATTTAGTTCACCTGCTCTGTGGTTTTCAGGCCGATTTTCCAGGCCCTTTAAGCACATGTGTAGCTTATTCCCTAGAGAAATCCCATAGGAGTCAATGCAGCCTCACTAGAGTAAAAGTCTAAATGTGCTTAAGAGTTTGCAGGGATGGGGCTTGAATTTGCTCGGATTCTTTCGGCAGAACTTCTTCATAAGGATAAATCCAAACCAAAATAAATCCAGCGAGGAAGCTAGTAACTGACCCAAGTGCCTTTTAAGATATAAGAGGTGGACAATATGTCACAATTTTTTTAAAATGAAACATGCCTGCTTTCAAATCCACAATCTTGAGCACAGGAGATCCCATTTTGTGGGAGAATTTCTGCATTTGCAAACCCAAAACAACTACACCACTCAAACCCACGCCACTTTGACAAAGTGGAGCCCAAATTACATTACTCTGGGCCAAAGGGCTTCCCCAGAGGTCACAGGGTTGGGAACAGGATCCCCTGCTCCCTACCACTACCTGGCCTTAATGTTTACTTTGCACTCAGCCACTTACTAATGTTAAAACTACCCAAATAGCCTCACTTGAAGACAGGTAAATATAGCATCATCCCCCATTTACAGATGGGCAATCTGAGCCCCAGAGATGTTAAGGGCATGAGTTTCAGACACCTCCAGACACAAAAGCAGATTTAAAAAAATGTACCCACATTTGTGTGTCTAATCTGTGTGCACATTTACCATAATTGCATGAGCAAATATGTTAATTGTGCATGCAAGTGACTGGAAAGAATGCATGCTGCCATTTTTGCATGAGGATGGGACTGGAAATCTGGACCCGAGAGACTTGTCAAAGTTCTCACAGCAAGTTAGTCTGCAATGTCGGTGTCTCCATGTTGGTCCCATACTATAAGAGACAGAAAATGGGTGAGGCAAAACCTTTTATCGAGCTAATCAAGTCAGTGTCAGACCCAGAATTAGAATTTAGGTCTCTTGAGTCTCATGTCGAAACTACAGTATTTCCAGGAAAATCCTTTAACAAAATTTTCAGAACAGCAACAGGAAAAAATGATCACATTGATATGCAAAATCCTAAACACACAGAGAATCAGGCATGATTTGAGCATGCAGCATGCAACCTGTGTATTGCTTCATTGAAATGACTAACTAGTGACATTCCTGGCTATTTGCATGCCAGTACCTAATTGGTGTATGAACAGTAATAGAGAGGTAGCCGTGTGAGTCTGATCTTGCTAAAACAAAAGGAAAAACTATGTAGCACTTTAAAGACTAACAAGATGGTTTAATAGATGATGAGCTTTCGTGGGCCAGACCCACTTCCTCAGATCATATCAGACTCACAAGATGGTTTAATGGGTGATGAGCTTTCGTGGGCCAGACCCACTTCCTCAGATCATATCTGGCCCACGAAAGCTCATCATCTATTAAACCATCTTGTTAGTCTTTAAAGTGCTACATAGTTTTTCCTTTTATTTTAATTGGTGTATAGTAATTGTGCATGCAAATTAGGCACCCAATTGGACACACATTTTTGGATAGAGTAAACTGCATTTTAAAGGTATTACATTTGAATAGACAAAGGTTTCATTAAGTACCCAGGGATAGGTTTTTCCTACTTTTCACAGCCAAAGTCTTAGCCAGTAGGAACAGATCTTCCAAGCAACAGCAGCCAGTTTCTAATTCCGGAGGCACAGGCAGGTCTGAACAGTCTTTCCTACAAGATACTGGTCTTAAGAGTCATGACTGCGTTTTTAAACCAGTACAGGCTAACGGGCTGGAACATATTGCTGTCTCTCAATCGCTCATTACACAAAGAAATAGGCTTTGATGGGGAATAATCCACACCACAACCAACGTTACGTGTCCTCTGTGCCGGAGAACGAAATGTAAGGTCATTGGGTCCAGGCACCAAAATGAGGAACAATAGACTGTGTGCTTGGGCCAGACACAAGCCTTTCGGGACATCAGCTGTACAGCAATAGCAAAAGAGCACCAACAAGAAACGCGGATGATGAATCAGTGGTGCAAGACTTCGCCGTGTGATGAAAGCAGCTCAGAACTCAGTGCAAAACACTCGTTCAGACCTTTTCCTGCAGATTCACTGGATTCCTGCTTGTGAAGGGCAGGCCTGTGGAGCATGAATGTCAAAGCAAACCAGGCAGGCTGAGCAAAGCCCATTGCCTTACAATGAGTCACTAGTCCTGCCTGAGTGCTTAGCAGAACAGGTACGTGGCTCACGAATATTCGGAGTCACAGAGAAATGTTTTCAGCAGAGAAGCAAAAGCAAAAGCAAACCCACCCCACCTTTCTACCTTCAGGGTGCCCCTTATCTGGGGAAGCTGGTGCTGGCGGTGGTGATGCTCACAGGTGGGCAGGGTTTGAGCCCATGACTTTGGGGTCCCCACTGTCCCTGGGGGGGTGGGGCTTGAGCCCTCTACCTCTGGCAGCAGGTACCTTAGCCACTGTGCCACTGGTGGAGCCCTCCAACTGCCCTATGTTTTGGGCCTCCCTTATCCTTTGTTCATCCCCAGGTTGCTAGGTGCATCCATCACCAAGCTGGTGGTCACAGAGAAATGTTTTCAGCAAAGAAGCAAAAGGAAACCCACCCCAGGGAACCCAGCCCATCTCTCTACCTTCAGGGCGCCCCTTATCCAGCCTTCCTAAAGGGGAACCGTGGAGAGCTCACACACTCACCTGGGCTGTTCAGCTGCAGCTGGGGACTCACGACTGGGACCGGCCATAGCCAGTCCCCCTGGGCGTTGGAGAACTGCAGGAACATCTCGTAGAAGATGGGCTCGGGGATTCGCCTCAGCAGGCTGGACACCGGCACAGTGCACTGTAAGGTAAAACCAGGGGGCTGAACAAAGATGCGGCGTGACTAGCCCTCCCTTGCCTGGATGTCGCTTTGCTGCACCGCAGAGACCTGCCCCATTTTTAAGAAGAAAAAGACCCTGAGATTTCCTCTAACAAGCCTAGGAGTTGGGGGACAGTCAGCCCCTGAGACGAAGCACTGCTCTCGGGTGAAAATCTGGCCCTCCAAGCAAAATGAGCCAGTTTGCCTTGACGAGGCTCCTTCCCTGCCCGGGGATTCCAGGGACACCGGGAATGTCAAAGCAAGACAGATAAACAACCCACCCAAGGCCCCGGGGGGAATCTGTGTCAGAGCAGACTAGATCCCAAGAGCCCCAGCGCTAGCGCACGGACACAGATGCATTAGACAGCAGTGTCTGACCGCAAAATATCATGAATCGATTGAGCATCATTTCCAAATGCATTAACCCGGGGTGTGGGTGGAGGCAGAGACAAGTCTCTGCTTTGGCTCAAGGGAGGGAAATAAATCACTAGCTCTGGAAACCCGGTGACTTATAAGGGCGTTTCATTGCAAGGCCGCCATGCAAGGCCTGCGGCAAACAGCCCGCTGCCCCCTGCAGCAGCACTGGCGGAGGGTTTGTGCTAGTTCAACACAGGGACCGGGGAATGACAAGGAAGGCGCAAATGGAACTCACGGACTGTTGGTAGGATGTCCCAAAGGAGTAGGCCGCATCGAGGGCACTCTGACGGTCTGCACAGAGCTAGCAGGGGGAGGAGGAAAGGTGTTGAGACCAGGCAGGGGTGCCATGCACCAGAGACTTCCAGTTCTGCTTTTTGGGACACCCTTGCACCTCTGGGGAGGTCTGAGCCCCCTGGCAGTGTGGAGACCCCCCTGAACCTGCGCGCTGTCGGGTGATCAGCCTCCCCGGAGTAGAAAGAGGGGAAGGAGGTGGGCAGGTGGCACATTTCAGTTTGGGGGTTCACTTTCTCCCCTCTCTCCTGCCTTCATTCTCCTCTGGGTGCAGACACCCGAGTTCCCACCAGCGTTATGAGGCGGGGTGCAGAGTGATCCATCAGCCACAACAGTTAGAGCAGGAGCCTTTTCCACTTCTTCCGGCCAATGCTGAATTGTTCCCTGCTATTTTAGCCCATCGCTGGCCCTTCCACCACCACTTCCCTTGGGAGACTGCCACAGCGTGGCAGATCAAGGTGTGCTCTCCGCGATCCAACCTCCACACGCCGCCTCAGATAGCTCCTACTCCCATGGTACCCGAGCACCTCCCAACCCTTTCCCGGAATGTATCCCCGCCAGCAGTCCCTGTAAGTGGTGCACTCGGGCGGCTGCTCAGAAGAAATTAAAATATCGCCCAGCTGATTAGCAGAGTGCCCACAGCTAGGTTTGGTGTTTCTGTTGGTGGTGCACATTCACACAATCCTTGGTGCACATAAAAATGATTCCGCACATGAATGGAAATGATTAGAAGGAAATTACTCCCCACCGCCCCTCGTTGCGAGGCAGAGCAGTGCTTCCATCCTCATTTCACAGGTGGGAACCCAGACTGGCAATTGGAGGCAGAGGTGGGACTTAAATCCAGGTCTCTAAATCCTAGCTTAATGCCTAACCCACTACATCATTCATCCTTCCTTCAGTTCTCTCGATAAACTCCACTGTTCCATCCTAACTAACCCCTCCAGCCCCCAGCCAGCATCAGCCCCATTCAGACAATTGCTGTTACGTATCCCTTCGCCAGGCTGGGCATACGTCAACTTGTGATCTGCACTCAGCAGTTAGATTTTCAAACCCAGGATTATTTTTGTTGCTTCTCTGATTTGTCATCAATAACTCTGGTAACTATGCCCACACAGCTGGATGAAGACAGCTGGTTCCTCCTCCGGTCTGTGGTGTGTAGCTTTTGCCCATGCAGCCCTAAAACTCTCCTGGCCGTTTCTCCTACCAGACTGGGAACGCCTGTCTAATTTGCTGCCCACTGTCAACCCTGCTGCTACAGCCTTGCTTCTGGGTTTGCCCCTTCCATTCATATCTGCTCCATGCTCCGAATGGCTCCAGCCCCCTACATCTCTGCCTTGATTGTAGTTCCTCCTAAATGTAATGTGATCTGCAGTTTCCATCCTCAGACTGGTTCCTCCCCCTTATAGGACTTTAATAAAGATGTTTAATGAGAAGGCCCTTAACACGTCAACCCTTGTGATGCCCAGGAAACACCTCCCTCAACAATCATTCTCTTTTTTTTTTTGTGATAGAAATGTAGCTGTGTTAGTCTGGGGTAGCTGAAGCAAAATGCAGGACATGAAGTGGGTCTGGCCCACAAAAGCTCATCATCTAATAAACCATCTTGTTAGTCTTTAAAGTGCTACATTGTCCTGCATTTTGCTTCTTTTTTTTTTTTTTGGTTCTTTAGCCACCTGGTTCTCCATGTCCCCACTCATCCCCCCCCCCCCCCTTCATGTAGCTTTATTATTACATGTCTGCGGAGACCCAGTGGTTCAAAAGGGGACCCCAGTTCTGCTAATGTTGAGGGATCAGATGAAATTAAACTACTCCCTCCGTTATTGGTCCTGCCATGAGGGCAGGGGACTGGACACGATGATCTCTCGAGGTCCCTTCCAGTCCTAGTATTCTATGATTCTATCTCCGAGTGCTAGAGCTAAATTCCCCACACGGGCTCTGAGGTCACACCAAGGAGAAAATCAAATTAACTCACTTGCAAAGTGCCGCCTGTTGCACCCTCCCAGCCTAAGAAGTTTCCCCTGGCGTCGTACTTCACCAGCTTGAAGTTGATCTGTTCAGGGTCAGGAAGAGGAAGAGACTCAGCAAGAACAAAACTTGGCAGAAGAGCTTAGCAAGTCCAAGGGTTTTCCATGCCCAAGCGCAGGTAGATTGCATTTTAGAACTGCCTTTATCTTAGCGAAGTGCAGGGTTGCCAGGGAGCTTGTTCTCAGCGCCCAGGCCAGCTTGCTCAGTAAGGACATTTTAGAGGCGCATGGTTTCCCACGGAGAGAGATAACTTAGATAAGAACAGACACACTGGGTCCATCTAGCCACACTGGGTGTCCTGTGTTCTGACAGTGGCTGATGCCAGCTGCCCCAGAGGGAATGCCCAGAAAAATAATCCTCAAGGGACCCATCCCCAACTTCTGGAAACTTAAGCTGTCCAGGTCTCTGCATGGGCACCAAACGAGACCAGGAAGGGGCCAATACCCCACGTACAGCAGTTTAGGGTGAAAGTGAAGCAAGAGGGGCTCTAAAAGGTGCCAGGAATAGGCCCCGGGTTAAGGAGTGAAGAGCAGCTGCATCATTTCTTGGCTTTTAATTTAGACACGTGATGCTGCAGGTCGGTCTGTGCCTCGGCTGTATTTACCTTGGAGCGCTTCCCAAAGGAAAGCGGAGGCAGTCCTGTGTTGCTATACAACAGCTTTGGAAGGTTCTGGCTCCTGAAAACAAAAACAAATCCTGTCTCCATTAAATAGATATGGATGTAGGCGCCAGGTTAGTCCAACTGCAGGTTGGCCCTCCCTGGTCCGGCACCCTTGGGATTTGACCAGCCCCGAACTAGGGAATTTGCCAGTCCTGGAGAGATCCCTTGCCACTGGCTTTCAGTCCACAACCCCTCCCTGCTGCCGGATCCGCTTTTGGCTCTGGTCCTAGGATCCAGCCACTGCCGCTGGACTTGGGCTCAGATCCCAGGCCCCGGCACCCTGCCACCGGCCAGCTGGGAATCCCTGGGACTGGAGTTCTCTGGCTACTTCCAGCCCCTCTACTGCTGTCTGGGCATGGGGCTCCCTCCCTGGGGTCATGGATCACTGGCCGCAACCAGTCCCACTACTGCCAGCCCGGTCAGAGCTCCCCGGGACTGGGGCTCCCTGCTGCTGCCGACTCCCAGCTGGCTCCTGCTCCCGGCCACCAGGGCTGTTTGGTCCTGCCGGAGCATGGATGTTGCCGGATCAGAGAGTCTTGGATGTAAGAGGTTCAGCCTGTAGTGATCATCTAAACACCCTCAGTGTCTCCCAAGCAATCTGGATTATCAGGAGTCTGCTGCTTTTTAAATGACTTGGACCAAAGCTCTATTGGATCATCTCACCCTGTCCATCTCCCTCCCAATCCTGCCCCCTGCAGGATTTTCACTCAGCTTTCACCTCTAGGGCACCGTTTTGAGCCTAGGTGATGCCAGTAAAGACCAGGATCAATTCGCTTCTGCTAGTTGTTTGGTGAGTGAATAGGTCTTATTTCCTCCTATCCACATGCCAGAGCGATAATATGGGCGCCTAACGGCCAATTTTCCTGGCCTCCTCAGCAGAGAAACCTGCTGAATAAACCATGAACACGGAACTACCTCGTCTCACCCTATTGCTGGCACCTTCTGGGTTAAGGTCAACATAGATTGGGCCAGGAGAGGAAAATATAATAGGAAAGGAACTTCCACTGCCTATTCTGCCCCAAACTCAAACCCCATGGATGGCACAAGGCTCGATGTATGTACGGGTCACGCGAGGGAAGGATGCGCTTGCATATTCTCTGCACGAGGACTCCATTTTGGCATGAAGAGAGGGGCCGCCGCTCTCCTGCTGTCAATGCCCTTCCAGCGGCAGCGGCTTGTCACCCGGCTCCACAGGCCCAACGGGACTTACTTAGCCTTCACGTACAAGTCATAGGCCCTGCTCTCCCAGGAGAAGGCGTTCAGAGTGACGGCGTTGGTGAGGAGCTCGCAGGCCGTCAGGTTGCAGGAGTTCTAGGGAGAGCGCAAAGAAGGCCGGGTTGTCATGAGGGAAAGGCACGGGGGTTATCCCAATACAACCACCCAGGGGGGAGAGGAATAAGCTACTCCATGCTAGCAACCCCATCGAGCACCGGTACAGCACCAGCCATCCAGCTCTTGTTTTACTCCTGCCGTTTCAGGCTAGGTGGCTTGGGCTTTCAAGTAAGACAAACGAAGACAGATAGACAAAACAGCTCTCCCCGAGAGAAAGCAGCGTGCACCTGCCCTTCTGAGCTCCTCTGACTTCCATCCCAGCCCGCCCCTTTGATGGCAGACTTCCTTCATGCGACAGACACCCCCAGACAATAGACTCCTGGCAACAAAAGCTCTCTCGGGGTGGTACACAGCTCCCTCACTGTGGCAAATGAGTGCCTCACAATATTTACCCTCCTAACCCACTAAGGCAGAGCCGTTATTCCCATTTTACAGGGGGGAACATTGAAGGGCAGAGCAACTAAGTGATCTGCCCAAAGTCACATAGCAAGTCTGTGGCAAAGCAGAGAAATGAACCCACCCTCTCTCCTGAATCCCATGCTCACGCCCTAGCATCTAGACCAGGGCTACTCAACTTTGGAAGCCCGGAGGGCAACAATGATACTCGTAGCACATGCCGAGGGCCGCAATTTAAGTGGGGTTGCATGTACATGCAAATATATGCAAATATATGCAAATAATTTTCTTCACACTGACGGGCACGATTACAAAGACTAAGCCTTAAACGTGGCCAGTGTGAGCCAGTCAGCACCTCTCAGGCTCTGCCCACTAGGCTAAGCAGCCAGCACTTCCCACAATGCCTCAGCACTCCCGGCACCTCCTCCCTGGGAGCTAGAAATGCCGACACCCTGCACTCGCCTGCTCCGGCCAGCCCCTCCGCTTGCGTCTTTCAACGCTCGCCCCGCCTGGGAGACACCTCGCCGTCGCGGAGCATGTTCCCAGTGAGGCCACGTTCAAAGGATCCCACCTGTGGGCCACGGGTTGAGCCCCGTGTAAACCCAAACTGCACTGTGGGCTGCAAACCACGGGCCGCAAGCTAATTAGCTCTGATCTAGACCATCCATCTTAGGGGAGCCCACAGCTTCCCCGGGCCCCAGGCAAGGGGTCCACACCACCCAGACCACGGCGCCCCCACCTTCCCAGGCATCCCCAACAGCCTTCCGGAATGCTCCATGGGGATGCGGGGCCCTGAGGCAATTGCCCCCTTGGCTCCCCCGTTAGTGGGTCTGATCCTTCTGCTCTGAAGGGAGAGGAAACCACCCAAGCAGGTAGCAGCTGAGTTACTTACATTGCAAGCCAGGAAACTGCCATCCAGAAAGGTGGCCTCCCAGAGCGAGGCGGGCTGCCGGGAGCTCTGCAGAGAAGAGAACGGTCTGGATGCAGACGGGGCTCGGGGACACTGAGGCTCTGTCTACACTGCAGCCAGCACCACGACATGTGGTTCGCATGCGCCAGCTGGCTCTGGTCTAGCGAGAGCAAAGAAGCAGCAGCAGCCGCCGCGCCGGTGGCATCAGCGGATCGCCACTGGGCTACCTTGCCTGGGAGCAGACTCCGGGCTGCTGTGGTGTCCCTGGAAGCGTTACCGGCGCTAGCGAGAGCCAGGTTAGCTCTGGCGCGCTGTCTGGGGGTGAGGCCGACACACCGAGCACTGCAGGCCGGGCGTCCCGAGACAGGGATACAGGTGGGGTGGGGTGGGGACCCGATTTGCACCTACACAAGCATTGCACTCCGCCGCCCAGTCTGTCGCCCTCGGGCTGGTACAGACACAGCTCAGGCCTAGGAAAGAGAGGCGCATCAGCAGCTGCGGAAGGTGGGAGCTGCCGGGTTACCACGCCAGCACTGCTCAGGCCCTGGCAGGCCACTCCACCGCCCACCGCCCACCCCCACCCTCGCTGGAGCTGAGTGGAGCTCTGCAGACACCTTTGCTGCTCGCCAGCATTCAGCCTCCGGGTAGGGTTGCCACCTCGCTCATTGCACACAACTGAACACCCTGCCCTTGCCCTGCTCCAGCCCCGCCCCTTTCCTGAGGCCCCACCCCTTCTCCAAGACCACACCCCCTCGCTCCAACTTCCCTCCCTCCGTCATTCCCTCCCCTGCACCTTCACTGGGTGGGGGCAGAGGTTTGGGGTGCCGAGGGAGTGAGGTCTCCGGCTGGGGGTGCGGGATCTGGGTAGGGGCTGGGACAGAGGGGTTCAGGGTGTGGGAGGGGGCTCAGGGCTGGGGCTGGGGATTTGCGTGTGGGAGGGGGCCAGAGCCTGCCTTCTCCCCGCTGCACTGCCGATCAAACTCTCCACAGCCCAGTCAGCGGCACGGACTGGAGCCCCCAGAGCCTTTTTAAACCGGCTGCTTCGGTTGAAAACAGGCTGCCTGGCCACCCTGCCTCCCACTGGCAGAGGCAATAGAGACGCACCGGCGTTGGCCAGAAGAGACGGCGGCGCACTGGGCTGGCTTTGGCTCATACGCAACGGAGGCTCCTCCATCAACGCAAGGCGGACACCCACGGCCAGGGGCCCAGGCAGGTTTTCCATGGCGTGCGTGGCTTTTCAAAGCGTGGCCGAGGCTCACGACTGGTCTGCGACCATCTTGCAGGCGGGCCACAGGCTCAGGGCTAACCCACAGTGGGGAGCCCGTGCTGGCACTCCAGGCCCACACGCCGCCCCCAAGGGTTGGCTTCTCCCTGGGGGGAG